ACATTTCCAAGTCAAAATGTACAAAACACCCCATGCTCGGACCACTTTTGGAAGTTGAGATGTCGAAAAAGTGCACGCCGTTGTGGCGCGAAGCACATTTCCAAGTCAAAATGTACAAAACACACCAGGTTCGCGCCACTTTTGGAGGTTCGGATGTTGAAAAAGTGGACGCCGTTGTGTCAAAATGTACAAAACACCACATGTTCGCGCCTCTTTTGGAGGTTCGGATGTTGAAAAAGTGCGCGCCGCCGTGGCGCGAAGCACATTTCCAAGTCAAAATGTACAAAACACCGCATGTTCGCGCCACTTTTGGAGGTTCGGATATTATCGAAGGAAGTTTAGAAGTCAAACTTCCGACAGTATGGACAGATGAAAAGCAGAGCAGGGAAGAGGCAGAGAGAAGAGAAGATCAGAAGGAAAGAAGATGGAGATGCGCGAAAAGGTAGGAAAGTCGCGAAACACTCTGTTTTTCCAATGATTTGTGGCTCCGGAAGGTCGAAAAGTAGGCTCGCTAAAGCGGCGGGTGCGGAGCCAGCCGGCCAGATGAGTGATGAAAAATTGCACGCCGTTGTGGCGCGAAGCAGATCTCCAAGTCAAAATGTACAAAACACCACATGTTCGCGCCTCTTTTGGAAGTTCGGATGTTGAAAAAGTGCGCGCCGTTGTGGCGCGAAGCACATTTGCAAGTCAAAATGCACAAAGCACACCATTGTCGGACCACTTTTGGAAGTTGAGATGTTGAAAAAGTGCACGCCGTTGTGGCGCGAAGCACATTTGCAAGTCAAAATGTAGAAAACACCTCAGCTCCGGACCACTTTTGGAAGTTGCGATGTCGAAAAAGTGCACGCCGTTGTGGCGCGAAGCACATTTCCAAGTCAAAATGTACAAAACACACCATTGTCGGACCACTTTTGGAAGTTCAGATGTCGAAAAAGTGCACGCCGTTGTGGCGCGAAGCACATTTTGAAGTCAACATGTACAAAACACCACTTTTGGAAGTTCAGATGTCGAAAAAGTGCACGCCATTGTGGCGCGAAGCACATTTCCAAGTCAAAATGTACAAAACACCACATGTTCGCGCCTCTTTTGGAGGTTCGGATGTCGAAAAAGTGCCCGCCGTTGTTGCGCGAAGGACATTTTGAAGTCAAAATGTTAAAAACACCAGGGGTTCGGACCACTTTTGGAGGTTCGGATGTCGCTTCGTTTCAATACACTACACTACAGGACATCACACTACACTACACTCCAGTACACTACATTACACTACATTACACTCCAGTACACTCCACTACATTAAATTACACTACACCACACTACATTACATTGAATGACACTGCAACACAGATAGACAGGTAGACAGCTAGACAGATAGACAGATGAAAGGGAGAGATAGATAGACAGGTAGGTAGATAGATAGATAGATAGGTAATTAGATGAAAGAGAGAGAGAGAGGCCAGCTGGGTAGATGAGATAGATAGATAGATGGCTAGACAGATAGACAGACAGAAAGACAGACAGATCGATAGACAGACAGACAGACAGACAGATAGATAGATAGATAGATAGATAGATACATCGATAGATACATAGTTCGATAGATGGAGAGATAGATAGATACAAAGAGAGATAGATAGATAGACAGAGAGATAGAGAGATAGAGCGATAGATAGATAGATAGATTGATAGATAGATAGATAGTTAGATAGATAGATAGATGGACAGATAGATAGATAGATAGACAGGGAGGCAGATAGACACCACTGCGCTACATTACACTACCTTCCACTACACTTCACTACATTACACTACACTACACTCCACTACACTACAACTGCAACTGCAACTACACAACTACACTCCACTACACTACATTACACTGCACTCAATTACAGTCAACTACACTACGCTACATTACATTACACTACACTCCACTTCACTACATTACACTACACTACACTACTCCCACTACACTTCACTACATTACACTACACTACACTCCACAACACTACAACTACACCTACACAACTACACTCCACTACACTCCACTACACACCACGACACAACATTACAGTACACTACATCCCACGACACTACACTACAACTACCCAACTACATTCCACTACACTCCACGGCACTAAATTACACTACACTACAGTACATGACACTACACTACCTTCCACTACACTTCACTACATTACACTACACTATACTCAACTACACTACAACTACAACTACAACTACACTCCACTACACTAGACTACACTACAGTACACTACACTACATTAGACTGGATGACACTGCACCATAGATAGACAGGTAGACAGACAGACAGACAAACAGATAGATAGATACATGGAGAGATAGATAGATAGACAGATAGATAGATAGATCGATAGATAGATAGATAGATCGATAGATAGATAGACAGATAGATAGATAGATAGGTAGATAGGTAGATAGGTAGATAGGTAGATATGTAGATAGGTAATGAGATGAAAGAGAGAAAGGGAGAGATAGATAGATCGATAAACAGATAGATACATAGCAGATAGGCTGGTAGGTAAGTAGATAGTCAGAGAAAGAGAGAGAAAGAGAGGAGACCTAAAGCACCTTTCGGTCCATCAGTGGCTTCGCTCTGCCATCTCTGATTCACAACAACCAACCTCTCCTATAGGTTTCCTATTTTTGAAACTTCCGCCGCCGCCTTGTGCGGTACTACGGGTATAGATAAATAGAGAGATAATTAGATAGATAGATAGATAGACAGATAGATAGATAGATAGATGGACAGATAGATAGATAGATAGATAGATAGATAGATAGATAGATAGATATAGAGATAGATAGATAGATAGACAGATAGATAGATAGATAGACAGATAGATAGATGGACAGACAGACAGATAGATAAATAGTCAGAGAGATAGCTAGAGAAATAGAAGGAGAGATAGACAGATAGATGCATAGACACAAAGACAGATAGTTAGATACCAAGACAAATAGAGAAATAGATGGGTAGAGACATTCACAGATAGATAGACAGATAGACAGATAGACAGATAGAGAGAGAGAGAGAGACAGAGAGAGAGAGATATATATATATATAGATAGATAGATAGAAAG